GTATCGCCAAAGATGTTGATACCGATAGATACAATTACACAATCTGCTAATATGACACACAATTTGAATTCAATAAAGATACAGACAAAATGCTGAATAACAAGAAAATGTTTGAAAAGAAACACCAGAGTGCCGTTAAGCACCATCGGGTTATCTTTACAGGAAGGGATCGAGCTTGGTGACAGCTCCCTCAGCCATATTTATTCAGAGCTTTGAACAGTGTGCCTGACCTTAAACCTTTATCTCCACACTGAGAAATCCAGGTCCAGCACAGAAGTCTAAATCCAATCAACTGTGATCATAGGCAGCATGGACGGCTGGGAGGACCGTCAGCTGAGACTGAGAATCAGACTGGCCTCCCAAAAGGGAACACAGTGGCTCTCACACAGACTTAAGGAAAAGAAGTAGGTGGTGAGCCACAGATGTGCTTAAAAAGAGGAGGAAAAAAGTCAGAGTAATTAAGATCAGCAGGATGGTAGTAATACGGAGGCAAAACCCAGCAGAAACCCAGTTTGGCTGTTTTATTTATTTACTTTATTTAACGAAGAAGTGAAACTCTTGAGATTAAAAATCTCTTCAGTAGCTTGGCTGACCAAGAGGCTGTCTGTATCCCGAATCCAAAGAGGGGCATGAAAGATGAAGGCTCCGTCTCCCATTCTTCTTCTAAATATCCTAGAAACGACACATTAACCAGCAGTCTGAGAGTGCTCCCAGTGCACTACTGGGGTGATACAGTAGTATGAAGTCTTTAAGATAAGATGGTGCCTGATTATTCAAGACCTTGTATGTGAGGAAACATGGTCAGGAAACACCTGGGTTACCTTGTTGTGCGTTTTTGCTGCATCATAAACCATAACAGCACCATCTTAGCTGTTGTTGCGATGTCAAAAATGGAGGCTGACTGGGCTAAATCTGGCAATACTTTGTATGCACACACTTTGTGTGCGTACTCTGTGTCTCTAAATATATTTTACAGTCATTGTATATGTTCTTTTAGTAATTGTTCTCTGTGTCCAGCCCCACATCACCAACAACAAAAAAGGTGAAGTCATATCTGCGCTTGGTGGAAACACTGTTGCTGGCCCAAACAAGCCAGCAGCCGACCAATCAACTTGCCCGACAGACTTTTGGCTATAGAGACAGCGGTTACATCGAACCCTAGTATTGTTTAACAATACCTGAAAAAAAAACACTAACACCACAAGTACGTGGTAAACACAGCAGCAGAAAGATGATGCCAGAACCCAAACTCAACCTGTGAATACCCAGAACCTGCAGGGCTGACTTTACAGGAACTGCTCTTTGTGGGCCTGAGCCTTTGCAGCTCAGGCACTACAGACCAGGAAGGACAGGTTCAACAGGCCACAACATGACCTACATGTATGGTAACCACAGGTGGGGTGCTGAAGCTACACAAAGCTCTTCCTTCTTCCTGTTCGTGATGCATAAAAGCTTTTTTGTTGTTGTTAATGATTACAAAAACATGGCACACGAAAACATTAAAGTGAGAAAAACATGGAAACACACACCTTAAATTTTACACATGGGCAAATTATCCTCAGCTGACTCAGCTGTTCTATAAATCAAGTGCAGCATTTAAGGGCAATGTTCCAGCATGACATACATGCACTAACACTAACATGCCTGTACCGACTTTCACTGACTACATTAAAGCTCTAAACCGTAACACTTCACTTTCCCCAACATAAAACTAATCCTTTTTCTGCTCTTCACTCGTAATGCACGGCCAAATCCTCTAAAACCCTTTAAAGATGTCACAAGTGGCAAAATGTCCCCCCTTCCTCTCATTAAAGCTCCAGCAGTGACATTTATGTTGGCAGACAGGTAAAACCAGATTCTCTGGACCATGGTGCACTACTTTTATTATTCCAGGTTTGACAAAACAGGGGAGGGTTATGAATCAGCAGAGCTTACACCAGCCCTTTCACCACCTGTAAAGAAGTGACTGCACTGTGGGAAAGAACCAGTTCAGAGAGGAAATAGCAAAAAAGCTGATAATATGAAAATGTCATTTAATACAATTGGAAATTAGGGATCGCAAAATTCTGGGCCAATACTAATACAACGAAACAACATAACAATATGACCAACAGCCCATGGCAATATTCTTTTTCTTTTTTCTATTTTCAGTTTTATTATTGCCGCATTTGTTCCGAGGAAAGGAGATAAGAGACCAGAGAAAGTTGATGAGCTCAGTGACTGGTAAATAACAATTAGCAATGCAAAGTGGCCCCGACCTTTGTAGCCAGTGAACTATGCAACAAAGTGCAACAAAGAAATTTATAGACAAGGTTTCTATTAGCACGGTGGTTAGCACTGTTGCCGCACAGCAAGAAGGTCCTGAGTTCAATTCCACCATCAGGCCTTTCTGTGTGGAGTTTGCATGTTCTCCCCGTGTTTGCGTGGGTTCTCTCCGGGTACTCCGGCTTCCTCCCACCATACAAAGAAATGCAGCTTGTGGGGATAGGTTAATTGGATAATCCAAATTGAATGTGAGTGTGAATGGTTGTCTGTCCCTATGTGTTAGCCCTGCGACAGACTGGCGACCTGTCCAGGGTGTACCCCGCCTCTCGCCCTATGACAGCTGGGATAGGCTCCAGCAACCCTGAAAAGGATAAGCGGAAGCGAATGGATGGATGGTTTCTATTATTTACAAATAATAATAATTGCTATCGCCATCTGGTGGCCTTCAAATACAATTCAGGCTTAAGGCACTTCCATGCTGGCTTTATTTTTCCAACCTGGAAGTTAGGTCCATCTTTCATACCGTGTTTGTGATTAACTGATGTCAGTCAACCACAGAGCCATCAACCAATATGAATATATGCAGGGTATATTGGTGCAACCTACTACAAATGTATTTGCTTTCAAGTCTTACTGAAATATATGGAAATACTTCAATTTTGTCCATTGACAGCTTAACTGAACATTGACCGATGTCAGTCAAAAGGGCCACAAGCAGCCAAAAACGATCCTGGATATTGGATTTACAACAGGGAAGTACCAATCACTTTCAGAGATCTCTGGCTTTTTGGAAACACTGAAAACCAATGTGACACAACAAATAAATGCTGGCCACTGCCACACATTGTTTGCTTAGATACGGATATCAATTAACAAAGCCAATACTGGCCGATATAACAGTGCAGCCCCATTGGAAATCTGATAACTTTCAGAAATCGCTGGCTTTTACCATACTGATTTTTTTAGCTCAGCGATCAGTAGCCAGAAAGCTGGCACACAGCAGAAACACAGGTGTGTTTGTCCTAAGAGAAACAGGAGCCTTTTAATCACAGAAAAGCCAAGTGTTCTATTTTCCCTGTGTGGTTTCCATCATCACCACAGTGCCTCAATCCCTCCATCTTCAGTCCCTCCTTCCTCACCCCTCTGCTGCTTCTGCTGGCTCTCCACTGGAGCCCACCAGAGCACACCCTCCCCTCACACTTGCACACACGCACTCTCCAACGATTTCTTGCCAGTGAAGCATGCCACTGAAGCAAAGCTCCTTTTCCTCAGGATTTATAATCCCAAAGGCTCCAGCAGCAAAAAAAAGCAACTCAAAGAGCTCTTTATAAAGCCAGAGGGCAGTCAGTGGCTCACCTCTGGATGGACACTACTCCCAGCATTAGCTCACAGCGTACAGTCGAGGATCATAAGCAGGAAGGAGGTGAGGTTTTGCTGGGTCACGTCTAATAATACAGGATTTCCTCCCATTCTGGGGGGAAATCGCCAAACTTTTACCACCACACATGTTTAAAGACATCTTTACATCCTTTGTGTAGACAATACAATCACATTTGGAGCCTGCATGATAATCAAGCAGGATGCATTTCATATGATCAAATCAGTGTGTCATAACCTGATTACATGAGGCTACTAATGGGTGCACGCTGAAATGAGTGGCCTGCTCTGGCGAGCTGAGTGCTTGAGCAATGAGCACACAAAGAATCTCTCACTCTCTGTATGTCCTTGTTACCAGGTATGACCAGCTTTGCCTGCCCTGGTATTTTTTCCAGGCATTTCCTTTCATTTTCAAACACCGGTCCTTTTCCGGGCAGCTGATCAAAAACGCAGGTTCTTCCAGAGAAAACGCCGGGGGGGCCCACGGGGCAAGAATTAACACGATTAACTTCCACAGCCTGCTATATCAGCCTGTGTCACCAAAACGCAACATCACCTCGGAGCAGACGCGTCTCCCTCGCTCGTGTCTAACAAGCTGGAATGCCTGGTTACTGTTTCACCGAGTTAAGAAAGTGCTCTTAAAAAACACGAGGAAGTGCAACACAGTGCGAGAAGAACAAGGTCGTCTGTCAGCCACACACCGCGGAATGTTAACGACTCACCTTCGTCCGGTTAACAGCTCCGTGGAGTGAAACAACACGGAGCTCTCCTGGTGAAGTGCAGACAGCTGCTCCGAGGCTGCTTAAATAAACTGTCCTTGACCGAGACATATTACAATGACCTGAGAGTTGGGCTTTTTGTTATTCCTGAACAGCCTGTTCTCCGTAGTGATGCCATTCGGGCAAAAAGAGCAGCCATCGCCGCCTTCACTGTAACACCGCGTTACTGTAGTTTTAGTTATAAGCTAGCTAAACCGGCAGTGTAATAACAATGGGACCCCCTGCTCGCTGCGGCGATTAACGTCCTGACTCCCCAACTGGCTCGAAAAATCAGCTAGCGTTCACGTTAGCTATTCAGCTCTGTTACCCACCACTGGGCTCGCCTTTTACACATCCAGCTGCCTTTCGTGCCAGCTATCAGGCTATCCTAGCTTTGCTTTGGAATAGGGAGATGCCTAGCTGTCTAGCTTCCTAGCTACGACCACCACACATTTCACAACAAAACAGCCGCAATGACAAGTCGCCCACTCCCGAGCACACAAGGCAAAACACTGCGCCTCTTCTTCCAGCGATATAACCCTAACTACGGGGCAGAAAGCGAGCCCCGGAGCCGTTGCTGTGGGGAAAGACTGGTCTCACCTTTGCAGTGGTTTCTGTCGGCAGCCCGCCGTGATGCTACGAGATGGTTTTAAGGCTTGAGACCCCACATTGAGCGTGCGGAGACGTCGTTATGTTGAATATACCAGAGAGATTCTGGGCACAGCGCACGAGCCTCTGTGTTCGCTCTGCCCACTTGCAAGGCGAATAAGCGCTCAGGGACCGTCCGCGTGTTACCAGTCCGCGGAAAAACGCACATAACCATAAAACTGTATCGCTACTATTAATACTGCTGCTAATAATAATACTACTGCTAATATACTAATAATACTTACACTAATACCATCACCACCGCTACTACTAATAATAATAATAGTAATAATAATAATAATAATAATTATTATTATTATTATATTACGTATAATACAGAGAAGGATCTATAGTGAACAAAGTGTCAATACACATCAATGCTGCTTTTTATCTATCTTTTCTGATAGTGATTAGCACAACAGATGATCAGGCTTCAAAGAAACATGATATGATTTTATACCACAATTATCTTTTTTGTTTGTTTTTAATGACATTTATGACAGGTGGCAATTCCCTTTAAATGTGACTGTTTAACAGAAAGAAGACACCTATATTAAGACGGTCCCTAACTGCATGCTCCTTGCTTTATATACGCTCTGTTACAGAGCAATAAAACTTTGTGTTTGCTGCCATCTGCTGGCTGGTAGAAGCCACAGACTGTTCATATCTGGACTGTAAAGCACTCAGTCATCATTACTGTCAATTGCTGCTCCTTCACGGTCCTTTTTGCACATCTGTCCTGCTGTTACATATACAGTGAATTTTCTCATTCAACCGGGATCATACCTTCGAGCAGATACTGATATCAGAATTCAGGAAATTAAAAAAAAAATACTGCAATGCAAATAAATTACACTTTTCACTGACCCATGAAAACAGAGAAGTTCGATCTAAAGCTTGCGAGAAAGCTGTATTCATAACCTCCAGAGAAAGGCATTTTCAGCCTGAGTGGAAATAAAGTGGGTGGTTGTGCTGTCGTGGAATATGACGAAATGTATTTCCATAAACAAATCAGAGAAAACCTGTTTTGTGTTTTACTGGGAACGTCAGTGGTGTCAATTGTTCACTGATCTTTTGTATGACTAGACCGCAGCATGCGTGATGAAACAGTTTCCAGTGAAAAACCACGAGCCCCAAGGTCAGCCTCTGAGAAAATAGATTTAATATTCAAATAAGCAAGACAGACTACACAGTGGCTTGCAATCATCAGAGAGAAGACAAATATAGTAGTTGATCATTTACAGACATATGAAGTTTGGGTTTTTTTCCCAGCAGCTCTACAGAGATGACATGAAAAATTCACATTCCTATCATATTCAAACATGCATAAATTACTGTACAGACATAGAGCCGAAGGCTGAGGTGACTTGATTCTCACTAAGGCACCCGTGATTAAATCCTCTACCATCAGTGTGCATAAAGGAACTAGCTAAATTTGGTTTATTTAGGTGGTTACTGTCATGTATGATCTTTTTATTACAGGCTGATTTCCCAGACTGAGAGCATTGTTGTTTGTTAATTAGAAAAAGAAAGTTATTGTTGAAAACAAGACTGTAACCTATTAAAAAAGGGCTACAGAGTAAGTATTTGCTGTAAACTACAGTGTGAGGCAATACAATATAACAAGAAAACTATATTAACAAAAGAAAAACAAAGATTTGTAACTTTTTAAGAAAATCTGTCTTGTACTCTGTATATAACTGATCAAATAAATGGTTAATTGTCTTGTTAGAAAAAGGAAGGCCATCACAGCGCTGACGCTGCACCAGTAAAAGACAAACTGCTTTGGCTGAGACACGTTTTTAGCAGTGCTTTCCTCAAACACTCAGGAAAACTGGAAAACACAAAATCATATCAAAATCAACAGGGAAAAAAAAGAAACAAACAAACAGAACAGTTAGATTAACCAATATCCAAGACATTTATGACACCAAAAATATGATTTTAATTAGTAAGGAGATAATACTTTAGTAGAAATTGGGATAAACACATCTTAACCTCCTAACACTCACTGGCTGTTTGGGGATCTGTCGAGTGCAAATTTTTACAAAAATTTTTCCTACACCTTTGACACCTTGGTTTGAATGACTGTTAACATCAACTTTAGAGCATCGCTAGCTAAAGCAACATAGGCAATTATGCTAAATGTGTGTGTGTGTTGCTTAGGCAGCTATGCTGACAAATGTTGCATCTATGAGCAGGGGCGCCTCCAGAATTTTTTTTCCGTAGGGGTGGCCACTAAAAATATTGGGGTGGCACACCAAAAACCGAACTTACGTTTTGTTATGCTGTTGTCAAATATAGGTTACTTGAAAAATATTGTGCGGGGTGGGAGTCACAACAGGAAATACGAATGACAAATATTATATATGCCGGAATAAAAGTTAATGTTTCACCTTATTGTATTATTGTATGGTCTTCCTTTCTCTTGACAACACCGCCCCCCCCCTCTCAGTGGCCCCCTCTCGGAGGCGCCCCTGTCTATGAGCCTTGAAGAAAAAGCTAGCCAATTAGCAAATTAAGGCTAACTTGGCAAAAGTTAAAGCAAAAATAAAACTCCAACAAATACAACAGTTTCTTTATTTTTTTTATTATTCTATTATTATTATTTTATTATTATTTGTTTATTTACCCAAGAAAGGCTAAAAGAATGACCAATATATGCAGAGAATCTGACCCATGTAAACCATAAAAGAATACTGGGACGGTTTTGTGATTTAAAAGGTTTCCCAGCTGTGAAAATATCTGCCTATCGGTAGTTTTTAATATGTTTAATATGAAGTTGTAAAAGTAAAATTGAGTATGCGAGGTGTCAGCTATTGCTACTTATTTAATTATTAGTGTTTATTAACACATAATGTTTCTAGAGGCTAACGATGTAATGTTGCTTGGTACAATACCACCACAAAACTATCTGTACAAAGCAAAGCAGTCCTTCCTTGCACTTGACTACGAATAGTAGGGTGTGTTATATTTGCATGACCTGTAAACAAAAAGGGATTTTTTTTTTATTTGCGCTAAATTTAACGGAATGGTTTTTGTTTGTTTGTCTTTCTTTTTTAAAAATTTTTTGCTGGCATTTGATTTTAATGCTACAGTTTTTTCCTACTTGTAAATTTTCGCTTTGATCATTGTGTTTGAATGTAGTGTGAACTACACTCCCCAGGCAATTTTACTTAGTTCACCTGCTGTCAGTTCATTAATCACCGATGACTGGACAGTTGTTGCTTAAGGCAGGGATTTACTATACTAAACACTGAGCTGCAAACTTCATACATATTTCCTCATTGAATCTTTTTTGAAAAATGATTGTAATGTAATCATTATGAAACTATTTTCAGCCTCTTTAGTTTGCAAGCATCGTTTGATGCGTCAGACATGCTGCTACACAGTACCATTACAAACACTATTCATGATTTTTAGCACCTTCTCTGAAACATCACACCAGTGTGCTACAGTTAAACATATTTACTATATTACTATTACAAGTGACACACACTGTGCCAAAAGTGTAAGTAATGGTTTTCAAAAAAAGAAGCGATTTATTAGAAATTTCTCAATAAAAGATAAAAAGGTTCTTGGGTGCTTGTGATGCATTCATTTCCCCAGCCTCCTGGCGACATCCTTATAGGCTAGCTCGATTTCCACATCAGCTGCACAGGTGTTGATGAATTCGTCCTGTTTGTAAGCATTTCCGAGGTACCGCCACAAACCTTTGAACTCTGACGGGATCTCATAGTTTCTGTATTTCTTTGCAACCACCTGTAAAAGCGCAAGTTATTTCGACACTGCTAAAAGCCAAAGTTAAATGATTAAAGTAGCTGAAGATAAAGAAACCACTCCGGCGGAGGCTACCTTAACGACATGAAGCTTTGGTAGAAGGTTGCAGTCAGCAAGTGTCAGCTCATTTCCGTCCAGGAACTTGCGGGCGGATTCTCCCTCATCTGCCTCATCAGGGAGAGGACTAATCAGGTACTCGTCCAGCTTAGCCAGGGCCTTGTTTAGATTGGCCTCTAAAGCTAAAACACACAGGAAGCATTACCATAGGATTTTAAAAGACGACAAACCCAATTACAGACATATTGGGTGCTGCATGCTCACCTCGATTTTTATCCGGTTTTGTGTTTTTGACAAAAGCTGAAAATCTGGCAAATATGTCATTTCCTGCTGTGTTGGATTCACGATTCTTTGCTGCAAGTTTGGGGTACCTGAAAAAACAGCAGAACATTGTTTCGGGTTGTTACCTGGCCTATTTACCAATCTCTTTTTGTCTGTGTGTGAGACCTACTTCGGTGGAGCCAGCTTTCCCTCCAGGAATTCCTCTATTTTGTTGACATCAGAGTAAACTTCCCCTTCGAAAGTGAGGAAGGGCGGGTGTGTCCCAGGAGCCAGGTTGTGAAGATCAGCTGGTTTCCTGATTAGAGTGGAATCATTTTTACACCCTCTTCAATAAATATGTCAAATATGTAATAACACTGATAATGTAGTAATGAGGCTCTTAAAACTTAATTGCGACCCTCAGAGATTTTGTTTATTACCGTCATGTATATCTCAGAGCAGCACTTGGAGCCAGAGCGTAATTAAATAGACCTCTGAAAGCTATTTTTAACTTTTCTCGATGAAAGAAAATGTTAATTAGGTTTGTGTAATACTGCAACAATATCAAACATTTTTTTTCTTATTTAACAATGTTTGTTTTATGGCTATTTCAAGTCACAGAACTAGGAACTATTCTCAAAGACTGCTTAAAGAAATTCCAATAAAGCTTATAAAAGAATGTTAAAAAGATAGTCATACAATATACAATGTAATACATTTCGTAGTATGTTTACACGTTTCAATAAAACGCTACATCTAAGCTGTGTCCAAATTCAGAGGCTGCATCCTCCTTAGGACCCGGCTTTTGCGGTCTACGTGGGTCGGGTCCTCCGAAGGCCGTGTAGGCTGGAAGTGAGCAGCTGTGAAATGGGACGGTCTAGCCTTCAGATTTGCATCACCGCTGTCTCTGTGGAGTTTAATAAACTCAGCCGTCTGCTCCTTGCTATCTAAAATATAACAGGACACTGGCGTAAATTCTCGACCATCTCACACTTCTGTTTAAT